CTCAAATAAATATTTTTTTAAAAAGTACATATACTGCCAAATGTTCTTGGAGCATCACTCTGTCCAAAGAGTATTCAAATAATTTGGTACATAAAACCCAACGAGCTGTATAACAAAGTTTCTACAGAAAAAGATGTAACGTCTCCCCCTACTGCAATCTTGGAAGAGAAACAGAGTCCCTCTTAGCCACGTATCTTTGCCTTCTCCGTGCGCCCTGTCATCTGCTTCTCTCCAGTGCAGTCCGGGGTGGGGGGGACTGGGTGGGGGGGTGGCGCAGGAAGACACAGGAAGTTAACACTAGTCACTTTGGGACTTTCCAGTATACCTCCAGCTGCATTTTAGTGTCAGTGGGATCCCCCCCATCACTTTTATTCAGGGGCTCCTTGGTCCCAATGAATCTATTTACTTCTCTTTCCACGACTATTCTTCTCCCACAGTCCTCCAAAGCCTTCACCTGAGAGCTTTTAGAATGTCAGGGTCTCTCCAGAATCCTCCCGAATCAGAATCTGCTTCTTGGCTCCATCCCAAGTCACTGGTATGCACCTTAAAGTTTCAGAAACATAGCTCTTCTGTCATTAAAGAGTTAATATTCGTTTTTAAACTTTTCCATATTATCATTAAGAAAAAAAAAAAAGCAAACTAGAAAGTTCCCTCAGTGCCACCCAACCGCTCCCCTGAGATTCTAGCAAAAGTCAGACGCATTCAGTGATAATGTTGGTGCTTATCTACCTGAATCAGAATCACGTGGGGACCTTAATGAGGCTACTATTATCCTAGGGTCCATCCCAAAACAATTAAATCACATTATCTGGGGTGGGGCTACTGGATACTTTAAAGAGTGATATAAAAATTCCTTATATTTCAAAGAACTCTAAACCCAGAACTTCAAACTCTTCTTGTCACCAGAACCAAAGAAAGGTGTAGATGGCTTATTCTGGTGGGTAGCACAAGGAAGTGTGTTTAGAAATGGGGGTTCTAGTAGGGAATAGAAATAGGATATAGGGGGAGTTTAGGAGATATAGCACGCAAGTCACTGGGGGGGCTAGAGAGGCAGCTACATATGGGGAGAGGTAGTATGGGAAGGAAGATGAGAAAAAGGTCCTAGCCTACAGGCATCTAGAAGGAGGAGATCTGCTGGAGATGGCTGTCTTTAGGTAGGTAATTATGTGAAAGGGACATACATAAGTCGAAGCCTAAACCAGGGACCGTGTGCAGAATTCCCCCAAAACACTCTCCTTAGCCGTGGGCTTGTGTTCAAGTCCCCACTCAACGTCTTTGTCAAAACATAAGGGACAAAGATCTTCTGCAGTACAGACCCTGGGACTTGAGGACTCTAGCAACATTAGTACTTGGACTCCTTTGTGTCCTTAACCTTCTTGAGGTTTAATGAATAAAAGGAGTTTGACCCAAGTTGCACTGATGCTCATCCCATGTTGATGATGGAAATACGCCCAGGGCTACCTAGGACCCAAGAAAGGAGAGCCATGTGATCTCCGTAATCTGCTTACAGAACTCCCTCCACTTGGCTTGCCTCTCACTATCCTTAATTGACCCTCATAATCAGTTTTCAACAGCCAGTGTCTCTTTGATGCTAAGAGTCCTAAATGTGACGATCATGTTGTATCTGGCTGCTGAGTCAGATGGAGAAAAAACAAGTACATGGTTAATGAAGAGAGGCCATAGCTAATATGATTTAAAGTTACATCAACTGTTGCAGAGAGACAAGCTCCTTTATGATGGCATTTCCTTTTTTCCTTAACCTTTCACAGTCAAAAGCAAATTTCATAGTACTTTTTCTATCAGCCCTGAAACCAACCAAAACCTCTTTAACATCACAATTACCCTGATTCAGGGAGACCAAGAACGTACAGGATATTTTGAAAGCATGTCCACCTTTCACCAAGAGCAGTGGTATAGCAATCTCAAAGATCCGCACTCATTGAGGAAGACAAACCACGAGAGACTCCTAACTCTGGGAAACACACAGAGGGTTGCAGAAGGGGAGGTGGGTGGAAGGGATGGGGTAACTGGGTGACAGGCACTGAGGAGCACACTGGGTGTGATACTATATGTTGGCAAATTGAATCTAAATAAAATATTTTTTTAAAAAAGGATCTTCACTTTAACAATTACCAAAGACTTTGACAATTTCATGGACTTTAACAATTACCAAGCTGATACACGCAGAGGAAAAAAGGGATGCCCAAAAAGAATACCATCAATACTAAGGCATTGGTATAAAAGACAGCGGTCTTACAATGTTGGCTACGTTTTCTCCCCTTCTTTTCTTCTGGAAGTAACAAGAAGCATGGGGTCCAGAGACGAGGCACCCTGAAAAGCTGCACTTATTTTAATGACCACATGGTTATTAAGACTTAAGTGTTCAACATTTTCACTACTTGGAACCTCACAACCTCAGGGAGGTTTCCTTCTCTGTGACAAAGGTGAGAAAACTCCAGCCTCACAACACCTGTTCCACGACCAATGTAAATTTTCCTCTCCCACCACACGTATTTCAGCTACTTTTCCCATCCCTCCTCCTCCTCACCAATATCCCCTTGGTTACCAGTAGCAGGTGAGCTGGCAGGAGCGAGCTCTGCCCTTCACACTTGGTGATGGCTCCAGACCTGCAGCTCAGGGCTCAGCCTAGCTGGAGAGCACCTCATCCCTCACTACCACCCATCTCTTTTGCTGGGACACGTTTAAGACTTGAGAAGTCTAAGAATCAGTCCTTCTCCACACCCACTCCATTCATCTACCCCCTAATTTCGTTTATAAGTTTGACCCTAGCACTACTGGCCCTTGGGTGGGTTTCATACAGTTCCTTCTGGAGCATAATAAGTAAAGGACAAGATTCTCTTTGCTTTCTATCCTGCTTTTTACTGGGATCTTTCTTCATCTTTGCCCCAGAAGTGACCCTGGAAGAAGCCTCAATCTTTCAGCTTCTGTGAAACCTGTATCTCCTGGGATGATGCAAAGAAACTCAGCAGACTCAAGACTGGTTACTACAGACATCATTCTGTGGACTGGTAAATACAATCATTACACATGTAATTATACGGCAATTATTATCTGATTTTGCAGAAGGGTCATAGGCTTTGGAGCTAAAAAGACCTCTCAAATTTACCATATGTGTGACTCTGGGAACTTTCATAATTTCCCTGAGTTTCCATATCCTTTTCTGTATATTAGAGATAATAACATCTGCTCCGTGGAATTACTAGAAGAATTAAATAAAACAATCTGCAGAAAGGGCTTACTGCTGAATCTGGAATAGATTAGGTACAATAAACATTAAACTCAATAAGTATTAAACTATATTATGCTACTTTTTTTTTGTATACACGACCAAAAAAAAAGGTAAATATGTTCATTTATCATCTCAACTTTCACATTTAGGTGAGTGCTTTTGTTTGCATGAAACTTCAATGCTGCTGGATAAATTATTTCAGAAACCAGGGCACAAAAAGTGCTTGATCGTGATGCCTCTCTTTCCACTTCTACACAGTAGCACTTATGTTAATCAATGGAAGCAGCATGTGATGGAGACTATGACCAAGGAGAACTGTCAGTCCCCGCCACCCCCCGCCTCTGCCGCAGAGTCTTGGTCATGACATAGTTGTTTGAAGTGTCACTCGTTTCAATCCAACAATAACTTACTGAGAATGTCACATTCTTATATATGACCAGAGTGAATCGTACTTCTTCACCTTGACTCAAATGTATAGAGTATAATCATTAAAACAACCAACAAAAGATTTTGATTAAGTCAAATAGAGCCAGATGCTATGGACGAAATTGTTTTCCAAAGTTCTGAGTGGTCTCACTGAGAAAAACCACCTCAAAGGCATCTTAATCTTGAGCTGCCTTACTCATAGTTATGAACAAAATATCCCCGCCCCTCAAACCATTGCAGATTTCTATAGGAATAGACAGGTAGAAAGATAGGTGGGTTGGTGGGTGGGTAGGTAGGTAGATGTGGGTGGGTGGATGGATGGATGGATGGATGGATGACAGATAATTTCAAAAGCCAGAAGAATTTTTCCAGGTGACTATCAACAGCATTACAAAACATTCGGGATCTAAATGTGATCATCTTTGTCAAGATAAATTTCTAAATGCATTTTTCTTGGTATGTACAAACTACAAATGCTTAAAAAAATGCAACTTGAAATGGCATCTTTTGGGGAGACATTATGGCACTAATTCTCCAATGCAAGACCAATATGAATACATGTGAATCTAGATGGTACTTATACCGAAGAAAATATCATGCACAGTCTTTACTTTGACTAAGTTTGCAACTCATCTTTGCCTTTTATAGGTTACAACCAAGAATTTGAGATGATGTAAAAAATAATAGATCTGAGTCACACTTAACAGCAGCTGGGAAACATCCCAGACTATACTTAAACACCGGAAAGCCAGAAGCTTTCAGACATGGAGCTCTCTTCTCACTGATGAAGTCATAGGAGGCTGAGAAAATCTACTGCAAGAGTACCTCACTGCCAAATTTAAAACTTTTGCTATTTTTCCCTGAAACTCAGTCTGCATATAGGATTCCAAAATATTAGAGATATTCAAATAGGTAATTGGCTAAATGACTTAATTCTCCTCTGACATTGTGTCATATGACATACTGTCGAATACAGAAAAATAAAAGTGCCAGCAATCTTATATACTTGTAAGAGAATGTGATTTGGGATCATAACAAAAAATAAATCTTTTCAAAGAAATTTATTTTACTGAACCTATTTATTTTTCTGTTTATTTCAAACCCATTTCAATTTGTAGACTGCCACCTGGATTCCAGGGCACCTTAGTGTATTTTTACTTGTCTCTATTATAGTGGTTTATTTGCATTTGGAGTTGAATTAGTCCTTTTATCTGAACATGAGACTACCCTAGTCATAAAAATGAATATAATTACTTTAGATTAAGAAAATTGTAATAATGAATACACTTATTATCCATAATGAATTTACAAATCAGATCCTTACCCCTAAATATAATAAGATTCCATAGAACGCAAATCTCCAGAAAAAGCATCGCCGAAGGGCATTAATAAGTTTGGGGTTCTTCTTTGATGCCAGCTCTCTGTCCCATTCTCTGCAAAAGAATAAAAAGTAGGACCAATAAGTTGCATGTGCAAATATTTGAGCTATTCTATTTCCCTTCATATAGTTTTACTCTCACAAAGACATCCAAGGAGATTAACCCAAGTGACTGAAGAGACAAACCTTGTGGAGATCTTCCAACACCAACACTCAGATATTTGGCAGAATTTGATGCTTTACCATAGATCAATTTTCAGGGAGTTGACTTGGTGACAAGGCCAGATTTATGTATTAAAGGAAGGTACTGGACTTCTTAAAAGCAATGCAAGAGGTGGACAAATAGAGTATGACTCTTATGAACATATATTAATGTGCTTGAGACAGTGAAAAATAAACAAAAATTCAACTCTCCCCCCCGCCCCTTCACCTTTTGATCTTTACTTGTTTAGACCTGTAGTGAATTTTACAAAATTTAACTGCCAAAAAAAAACAACATAAAAGTCAGGTGGATTTTTCTTTTATTTAACATTAGAAAAACTCATCTAAATGACTGTTTTTTGAATGTAAGGGTATAAAACAAATACTGCCAAACTTCATTTTCAACTATTAAAGTCAGTTATTAGAGTAATAGTCTTTGGAAAACTAGAAGAGAATTACATTCTATATTTTGTGGAAAAGAAGCCACATAGTCTGAAGGAATGGTGGTATCAAATAAGCTTTCTTTTAAAAACTGGAAATTCATCAGTGGATTATATTTACATTATAGGCACTTCTGTCTGTTAATGAAAGTCCTTTCTCTTCCCAATGGTTAAAACACATCTCTAAGTGTCACCCTGATCTGCATTACTAATCTGTACAGAGATGAAAAGTTTCACAGGCAAGAACTAGATAAGGGTTTTGCGTTTCATTAAGAGCTAGCTAGGTCCATTACTATTCATCTGTGATAATTAGCAGTGGTTTTAAGTTACCCCAAAGGAAGAACACACAACTGGCAGTCTCAGTGCAAAGGAAAACAGCTGCCCCAAGAAGCTCACTATCTACAACACCTAATTACCTATCCCGTCTACCCACCTCTCCACTCTTTCACACTTACACAGGGCTTGCTCCCATCCATATCATCCAGTGGCTCACAACAGGGTAAGAAGCTAAAGATAGAGGCAGATTCAGCCTCTCTTTCAAAGGAAGAATGAGTCAGATGAGAAAGTCAGGAAAAAGAAGCGGTACATAGACCAAAGAAATGATTTCAAGGTGGGAGGAAGTGGTCAACCCGAAATCATGTAGGAAGAAGCCATTTTATTTGACATTAAGAGACCTCTGGTGACCCTGATCAATGTTGTTTTGGCAACATGGTAGACACAGAAACTATATTTCAGGGAGCTGAGATGTAAAAGAAAGGTGAAGAAGTGGAGGGACCACCAGAACAAAGGAATAATAGCTATAGAAGAAGAAGGAAAAGGAGAAGGAGGAGGAGGAGAAGGAGAAGGAAAGGAGGAGAAGAAGGAGAAGAATAAGTAGAGGAAGAAGAGGAGGAGGAGGAGGTGGAGGAGGAGAAGCAGGAGGAGGAGGAGAAAGAATGGGAGAATGGAGCAGCAACCTGAGGGAAATGCAAGGTGGGTGAAATTTATTTTAATGGTCAGGATTTGAACCATTTATAGCCTGAGAGAAGGAGTTTGCAGGGAGAGGAGGTGGTGTGGTTTCAGCAGCACCATAACAGACACTGTAAGAATCCCAAACACTGAGAGTTAAATCACAAGGGAAGAAGCTCTATATTTACCAATTCTGTAGCTTTTCGTAAAAATGGATGTGCAGTCTGCACAGTCTGTAAAGAGGGTTCAATGTTACAAACTGAACCAGATGGGCCAGTGTGCCTCAGCTACGTGGTTACCACCTAACGACCTTTGTCATCAGGCAATTATGAAATGTGGGGCTAGGGTCACTTTCCAAGAGCGCAGATGTACTAAGTGCTATAAATGGCGTGTCACTCTTCCAAAATGTTTCAATAAATTCTAAAAAACAATTTTATTTTTTATAAAAATAAATGCATAGAGTGAAAAGAGATACAAAATAACAAGGGTAAGAAAGACAGCATTTATGGACTTATACTGGCACAGAGTTGTTGAATTTACAAAATTAGGTATACTTTGAATTGATATGGGAGATGCAATAAAAACAGGAAAAAAAATCTTAGGCCAGATAATACCACCAATTTAATGTCCTCTATTTGGCAATAAATAAAAATTTATCTGTAGTACACAGGTTCTTATTAACCTAGTCCTACTCTGATTAATCTTTCCCTTGGTATCCATTCAGAACTTAGGTATTCAATATATATTGTTTTATTAAGAACTTGCTGATATACCTACAATGTATTATTTGGTATATTTTTATCTCTGCAACAATATTAAAGGTTTTCACACAATGCTAGTCATTTCACATTCAATTATCATTCACTTAGCAAATTTTTATTGAGCATCTACTGTATGCCAGACCCTATTCTAAGCACTGAGGAATACATCATAAATAAACCAAACCAAACAGACCAAAATATCCTTGCTTTCTCGGCATTTGCACCTACTTAGGGCCTAATAATAGGAATTGGTCCTTGATATTGCAAAGAAGAATCTCTTATTCCCACTAGCCTAATTACTTGAATAAAATCAAGAAAAATAAGGCTGAACATCTTACTTTGCCTTGAAAATATTTTTTTTTCTTGAAAATATATTTTAAAGGGAAATGAGTTTAATGAAAATAAGGTAAACAAGTTACAAGTCTCAACATTTTTTATTTGGGGGCAATAATTTAGTAGCTACTTTTTCTTTTCCTTTTTCTTCTCTTTTCTATTTTTTTCCCCCCTTTGGTGTAAGGAGTGAGCATGTGACCCTAGAGTCTCTGGGATTTTTCACATTTGGCCAAGGAAAAAGGGCTCTTATCTTTGTGATTTGTAAAGAAATGAGCAGAGTTCTAAGGACCCACTGCATGGAGTAATCTGGTCTGAGAGAATAAAACCAGCACAAGCAAATACCAAGTGGCACGAGAGTCTCTGGTTCCACTCAGTCGCTAAGGCCAGTCCTCTGCCTAGATCCCTTCACACAGGTAGGCTACAGGAGCCAACAAATTCCCTTTTTCTATTAAGCTGGTTAATTGGGTTTCTGTCACTGGTAATCAAAAGGGTTCTAACCATTACTCGTAGAAAAGGGAACTCTGAGAACTAGTCTACAACGGGAAGCACCGATCCTGAGGAGGTGGCAAGTACAGATCTGCCCTAGAATTGTGGCTCTGTTGGTCATCAGCTGGAAAACTGCATCATCTCTCTGAGCCTCCTTTACTCTCTACAAGATGGAAGTGATGATGCGCTCCTCCAAGAGCTGAGAGGAGATACTATACCCAGCATTCAATACGTACTCAAAGAAATTTTTACATTTCTTTGATATCTAATGGCCATTACCTTAGGATGTCCAAGTAAGTACATTCATATTTGCATATTAAGATTTTTGAGGGCAAATATAAACAATTTGCTTCATAAAGATGTTACTTCAGTCTTCACAAAATCCACTTAATGTTCTTTAAAGACAGGTAACTTCTCACAATTATTTTTCAGAAAAAAAAAGTCATTTATCAGGAAAATAGCTCATCTTTCAAACTTTAATTGTTTAATTTTTAATTGGTCAAGACTGCAACCAGAAAATAAGATGTTCCTATCTTAAATATGTCATTTTAGGAATTAAGCCATTAATAAGCTAGTTCTCTATCCTTTAAATAATTAGAGTATTATTAATAATAATAGTATTAATTCCTCCCCCCAACTAATGAATAACGTCCATAAACGTACCTTTCCAATTTTTCAGACAGATGATCAGCAGAATCAGCAGAAGGGACTTGGTATATGTCTGATAATTCCAGGCGTTGTCTATAGCCTTTTATCAAAATTGGTCTGGTCCAGCTGAAACAAAGAGAAGGGACAGATGTCAATATTCACTTGATTTGGTCTCCAGTATAGACTTGGAATCCGATACTATTTTAAATCTTCTGGCAGGTGAGAAGTGGTGGGTGCATAAATATTAGAATAAAATAAGTCAATTTATAGAAATGACAGTGCTTCATATTTTATAGGATGCATCTGTATAAAACACCAATACCTCTGAACTAACGTGCCTAAGAGAAAGGATCAGGAATGATAGTAGAATCCTTACCAGCAGAAAAAAATAAGCCACTACACATTCTATATATAAGTATTCTTAATGGTAGAGTGTCTGCCTCAGCTCAGGATCCGGGATTGAGCCCCATGCCGGGCTCCTTACGAGAGGCCTGCTTCTCCCTCTGCCTATGTCTCTGCCTCTCTCTCTGTGTGTCTCTCATAAATAAATAAATACAATCTTTTAAAAAAATAAAGTATTCTTAAAATAACAAACTATTCCAGGGCACCTGGGTGGCTCAGTCAGTTAAACTTCTGACTCTTGGTTTTGGCTCAGGTCTGATCCCCTGGTCATGAGATTGAGCCCCACACTCGCATTGAGTCTGCTTGAGTTTCCCTCTCCCTCTCCCTGTGCTCCTACTCTCCACCCTGCACTCTGTCTCTCTCAAATAAATAAATCTTAAACAAACAAACCAAAAAAGCTGCCCCCAAATAACAAGATACTAGGAGTTTAGAATCACTGAAGCCCCATCTCTACCTCTTTAAATATAAAATGATCTATGAATGATAAAGAAGATGGACCCTCAATCAATATCCCCATACAATGTTGTTCTTATACATGGCTCTCAGCAACAAACTATTGTTGAATGAGTTGACTATAGCTAAAGGGTTAATGAATACTTTGCATTAATTTGTTGGCCTAATTATCACTTCTGAATCATTACTTGAGGGTGGGGATCATAACTTTACATTTTGTCTCCTCGCCCCACAGCATCCACCCCCTCCACATCTAATAAAAAACAAGTTATGATGAAAACTATTGAAGCTAGTATGGTCAATAATTAGGATATGCCAGTTCTTTCCTTTTCCTTTTCTTTTCTTTTCCTTCAGTTATTTTCAAGGATATTGTTTCTAACTAGTACAGATAAAACAAAATAATCTTCATAGAGATAAGCATCTAGATGCAGGAAGGCTAAAAGCTGGCAAACTGCAGGCAGTGGGGTGGTACCCTGGCAAATCTTTAACCAGCCCTTCTCCAAGAAGAAAAAAGTGACTTCAGTGATTTGCCCATTTCTGTGGTGTAAATACTCCCACTGTGACCAGTTTCAAGCTAGTAAATGTGAAGTCATTGAACACAGAGTTGGGAAGAGATACAGAGGTGCATGTTATAGTATGTTCATCTTCCAGCTATAATGACAGTAAATAACCTAAACAGCAAAGATAATAGTGAAATGTCAAATTAGGTAGTGACAACTGTTGCATTTTTATTACCTTTGTTTTAATATAATTTATCTAATTAAGTTTATATCACTTAATTTTTAGTACTAGTTGTACTTAACAACCAGCTCACAAATTTCCTGATAATTTAACAATCTGCTCAGCCAGAAAGGGCCATCTGCAGTAGGTCACTGAATGCCAAATGGTGGAAAGACTTGGAACAAGGGCAATGGCATTGAAGACAAAAAGGAAGGAGTCTAAAGAAGGTTTAGTAAAAAGGAAAATAGATTCCATCCATTAATAAACTATGTTCAGTATGTTTGAAATTATTAAAATATGATACCAAATTGACAAATAAACAGGATTTTACTTTCTGTAAATTCCAAATACCATAAGACATTTTGCAGGAAATTAAAAAATAAATCTTCTTATCTTTTAAAATATATATACGAACAAACATCCTTTGGTCCATATCTAAGATCTGATGATCATTCCCATGAATGAGTCTCACGCTCATTTTAAAGTAACACAACTTGTGGGCTACCTGTATTAAAAGCTTTTGGTGCCTGTTTTCATACGTATATTGCACCTTGAAATCAAGGTTTGATTATCAAGAGTTCCAAAGCTCAGCATCATCAAACCAAAGTATTCGGTAGGATTAAAACTCAAGTTAGCTATTTTTAATTAGCAATTAATTTAGTGTTTCCTGACAGGTTGTCACAATAAACCCATATTTGTATCCTGAAATAGAAACTTGGCTTAAAGTGAATTATGAGAACTAAAATTAGTTCGCCTTAGGCTGCCTAGAAATCGCCAGTCACCCTAGGGAAAAAAAACGTATCCTGTTAGATTAAACTGATAACATTGAATGAAATTTCTGCTCCAATGAGTTCTCCATGCCTGCCTCAAGCCAATCTTAGAAATACAAAAACAAAGACAAAACAAAAAACTCCCCAGATACCTACACTTTATGAAACACCACTTATTGAAAGACTCCAGCCACCACTCCTTTTGCATAATCCTGAGTAGGTTAAATGTACTCAGATAGAATTTAGGAAAGCCCAGTGAGGATTTCTACTTCCACATTTCCTCCATTGGAAATCAATAAGCATTAGGTGGTTCATGAAGCAAAGCAGATTATGCCTGGAATAACCACAAGCAATAAACCCTGTTCTTTCTCCTCTTCGAATTTGCTCCCACCATCTCTTCCTCTCATCTCTAATTAATTTTCTCCTTCACTCATAACCAGTCACTATATAGTGACAATGGATTTTAAAAAAAGGTCTTAGAAATTGTGACCCTTTCCAAAGTTCTGGCCATTTCCAACAAACTAGCTAATTACTACTTATGGGGGTTAACAGAGGTCCCTAAGTTATACACTTCTTTAGAACTTAAAAGTTCCAGAGTGATTTTGAAAGAAAAGGTCTGGTACCCCAGAAACACTGTTTTATTCACTTAACTGTAAGGGGATTCAGGTTTTATTGAGGAAAGATGCTATCACTTCACTGCTTAAAAATACACACAAGAAATTGTTTTTAATTAATTTAATTTCTTAGGACAACATTTCTAATTTTTTTATAGAACGACTTGTAATTTCTTATAATGAAAATAATTTTTCAATTATAGCCACTATGAAAGCCTTGATTTTCATAAACTCTATCCCTCTAAAACCACATAATTAAAGTTTATAATCATTTTTTCCATTTGACCTTTGGCTTTTATTAATCCAACAGAAACATCTGACATTTTCACGTGCTAAAATCTAAGATGAAAGTCAGGTGTTAGACCTTTTCAGTTCAAAATGATTTTGTCTGTATAAAACAATCACGCTTCCACAGTATTTAACTTTACATTTTCTTTAACAGGCCAAATGAAGTAAAAGAGCAAATTCGACAAGCACTGGTTGTATGACACTTCTCCCAAAGACTGACAAATTGATACACTCAAAGACTAGTAGCCTTTTTCCTTTTTGCATGAAACAATACTCAAGGAACTAAGTGGAAATTGAACTATTTTGTGTAGACATATTTAAATACACCAGAGGTTTTCTCATCATTCAACTTATTTACCATGAGTTTGAACTAGCCCAACTAATCTGGATAGTCCCAACTGAAGGAAATGTTGAACTTTAACGCAAAGCAAAGATGGAGACTCACTTGAACATGTTGTGATAATAAATCTCAAATTTCTACAGCAAAGCACTATCATTTTGCTTCAGATTCTTTTTTGTGGGAGAGGATGTTGGGGTTTTTGTTTTTGATCCGCGAGTATGACAGGAAGGATTGATTTGAGACCAGAAGTCTCTCATCTTTATAAGGATATAAAGAAAAAAAGTCATAAAAATAATACTTCAAACATCACAGCTTTATCAACTTAGATTCAATGTTGTCTCGTAGTCAGATGTATTTTTCTCAGTGAATTTTGGTGAAAATAATGCTTGAGACAGTAGTGGTATCTGGCTCTCAAAAAGTCTTGTGTAAAACTGGCACGCTTCAAGACTGCACCCCAATGTCATAGCTCTGGGGTAAGGGTCAGGCCACACTCCTTGCCCTCTGATTCCAGAAGTGTTTAAACAATGTTTGCTTCTTATTCATAAACTGGTGAATTTATAAGTAATAGCCACTTGAGCCAGCTCAAAAATCTTTAGGAAGAACATGCTTTGCTAAAGGTCAGTCGTGTTTATGTTTAAGAGCTCATGAGGATCTAACTTTACCAGAACTATAGAAGTTATTTTTCTTTCTCTAGATGAGTGAACAGTAAAGTAAATGTAGTCAATTAATTTCAGATAATCTGGGAAGATAATTAATTGCTGCTTAACAAAAGACACCAAGCCAATTCTGAAAAATCTTCTGGATGTCCAGAATTTATAGCTATACAGGCATCCTAATATAAATTAGTTTAACTTCATGCCTAAAGAATCCAAACATTGAATAGAAAAATCAATCTGCCCATTTTATAAGATGCTTCTAAATATAAGTGTATTAGTAATGCATGCATATTAAGGAAATGTCTGAAAACATACTTTCTTTTTTGCTTGTCTATCTTCTCCAATGTTTATGAGCATGTATGTCTTTGGAAATAATGAGGACTTTTTTTTTAATATTTTTTTAAGTTTATTTATTTATGATAGGCACACAGTGAGAGAGAGAGGCAGAGACATAGGCAGAGGGAGAAGCAGGCTCCATGCACCGAGAGCCCGACGTGGGATTCGATCCCGGGTCTCCAGGATCGCGCCCTGGGCCAAAGGCAGGCGCTAAACCGCTGCGCCACCCAGGGATCCCAGGACTTTTTTTTTTAATTAAAGTAATGCAGTTATAATGCATTACTCATTATAGCTATCCACCACAAAATTTCTAGTCAATCTTTTTTAAAGATTTTTTATTTAATTTGAGAGAGAGAGATTGAGCAAGCAAAAGCAAAGGGAGAAGCAGAGGGAGAAGCAGACTCTCCACTGAACCAGAAGCCCAACTGGTGGCTCAATCCCTATGACCCCTAGGATCATAACCTGAGCCCAAGGCAGACGCTTCATGGACTGAGCCATCCAGATGCCCCTCTGGGCAATTGTGTTCTAACTCCATGATTCACACAAT